TATAGAAAGAAAATATATGTTTTTAATTTAAATTCTCAGAAATACGATCACTTTAATGTGATAGGCCTACTTATGGAAAAGCACAAGCATCAGTTATGTTCAAAAAATTTACCCTGATCATTGAGTAGTGTCACTTTTAACCAGATTTTAAGGTCATTTATGTGTTTGTGCATGTGTAATCTAACAGTTGACAAATTTAAAATAAAAATGGTGAAGCTATCTGAAGCAACAAGAATTTCTATCTTAAATTGTCTTCAAAGACCAGAAATGTCCATTCGAAAAGTGGCAAAGCTTTTTAAATGTAGTCCAACTACTGTACAAAATATAAAAAATAAATTTAAAGAGCTAAAAATGATAAAAGATAAGCAAAGAAGTGGTAGACCAAAAAAAGTGACACCAAAGATGGAAAGGTAAATTACCAGGGCATCTAAATCAAACCCCAAGTGGACAGCCCATCAGGTATTATATAATTCTGGTATACCAATATCTCTTTCTCTAACAACAGTGAAGCAGGTACTACAAAAAAATAACTTAAATGGGAGAATTGCAGCCAAAAAACCTGCTTTATCTAAGAGGCAGATAATAAGTAGGAAAGAGTTCTGCAGAGAGAGAGAAAACTGGGGGATTGAAAATTGGAAAAAAGTAATTTTTTCTGATGAATCAAAGGTTGAGCTGTATCCTAGGAGAAGGGAGTTTGTTAGGAGGCCACCAGGTAAACAGAATGACCCCAAATATACCACAAAAACAGAAAAATTTGGGGGAGGGAATATAATGGTGTTTGGCTACATTAAGTTCAATGGAGATAGGGGCCTAGCTTTAGTGTCTAATCGCATGACAGCTTTGGATTATGTCAAAATTTTGAGCAGTCATGTTGTCCCAAATTATAGGAGAGGGGAAATTTTCCAGCAGGATGGGGCTAGCTGTCATACAGCAGCCAGAACAAAAGTGTACCTTGAGAGAAAGGGAGTAGAAACACTGGATCCATGGCCAGCAAACAGCCCAGACCTGAACATAATTGAGCAAATATGGGGCATATGCAAAAAACGTTTAATGGCACATAAGCCAAGAAACAAGGATGAGCTGTGGGAGATGTTCAGAGAGGAATTTTATAAAATTTCAGAATTGGAAATTCAATTCTTATATGAGACAATGGAAAGAAGGCTTAGGGCAGTTGTACAAGCTAAGGGTACGCACACAAAATATTAAGGCATTAAAAAATATAATATCCTGTAAATAACAGTCAAAATAAGAACAAAAAAATACTTTTAATATTCTTTTAGAGTAATTTTTGTGATTGTAACAAGTACTTATGCTCCCATAGAAAATAGGCCTACCACATTAAAATATCAATAATTCAGAGATTTGAAATGAAAAATGTATATTTTCTCTCTATAATGATAAGAAGAATATTACTAAATATAATAATATCCTTCATTTTCATTCTCTAAGTACGGAAAGAGAAAAAATCAAGAAAATATTATTTTTTTGAGGTGTAACAGTGACTTACCGCTGGTACTGTATTAATTTTCCATAGAGTATTCTTGGATTGTAACAGACCATTACAAACATTTGAAAATCCATTTTTCATACTTGAATTACCTTTTAAATAAATCTCCTTAAGGCAAAATGAATAATTTAATACATTACTCAAATTTTCACTTTGCTGTTCATTTAAATCACAATATGATAAATCAATCATCTCCAAATTTTGCCTTGAATTGAAAAGACCATCACAAATTTCTGAAAATTCTTCACCCATGTTACAATTATAACTTAGTTAAAAAAATTCACTCTTTTCACCAATAAATCTACAGTTGCTTGCATTTATTTTTTCCAGATTGTTTTTTTCGATTTCAAAAGACTTTGATAAATATTTGAAAATCCAATTTTCATATATGGATTACCATTAAAATATATAAGCCTAATTTTAGAACAGGTGACCAATAAATTTCCCAAATTTATCCCTTGTTCTTCATTGAAATTACCATCACTAACTAGAATATTTTCTAAACAGTTACTCGATTGTTTAAGTCCGTTGCAAATGTATGAAAATCCATCTTTCATATTGTCATTACCAGATAAGTCTATATGTGTTATTTGATAGCAATTTTCCAAAAAATGTCCAAAATTTTTAGCTTGTTCATCATCAAATTTACAATTGCCGACATCAATTTTTAAAAGATCATCTTTTGATGGTAAAAGTTGATTAGTAATAGTTTGAATATTTCTACCAACAATGCAATTATCTGACAAATTGATTGTTCGAATATTAGAATTTTGTTTAATCACTTCAATACAATCAATAAAATCTCTATTCTCTTTCAATTTTCCTTGAAAATTTAAATGTTGTTGGAGAATTTTTGTTGAAATTTGGCAACATCTATTCTCAATGACGTAATTAAAATTTTTTTCATTCATTAATTTAAACGTTAGTACCATTTTCAAAAATTCATTAACATGACAAAATTCATTTTCTTCATTTATTTTATTAATAAGAAAATTCGTCATTTTCTTCTTTCTATCCATTAAAATTTCATTAAATTCTAATTTTAATTTTTGAAAATCTTGCCTCATTTTTAAAAGACAATCATTTTCAATTTCATTAATTTTTCTTATCTCCAATTTTCCATTGTCATTATCTTTCTTTAAGAAGGATTCTATCAAATCCATTTCCTTTTATAAGTTGCCATTGTTGTTATTTTACAATCTGAATGATTTGTTTCAAAACAATTAGAACAAAGATTCTCTGTAGAATGTGTTTTACAATACAGTGATATCTCTTTTCCATGAATTTTACATAGATTTTCATATGATATTTTTTTGAAACAAAATTGAAAAAAGTTCTTTCGAAGTTGTTCTACTTGGCCATGGCAATTGTCATTCTCTCTTACAATGAGGACAAATAATTTTTGAATTTGTAATGTTTAAAAGTTCCAAACATTCAAAACAAAATGTATGACCGCACAGTAGTATTCTTGGATCTTTTTCTACCCAAGGATCTAAGCAGATAGCGCAAGTAACATCATCTTCATTTATATGATATCCACCGGCAGCCATTTTATCTCTAGAAATTCTTGAAAATGTTTATTAGCAACAAATCTGTCTATAGCCATAAAAAGCCTAACTCTTATAACCATTACACAAAAGACAATGATTTTATTAGTGTTTTTTTATAACATTGGTAATTAATATTATTCATAGGCCTAAAAGCAGATTTTTTAGTTTTATTCTCTAATATAGGGCAGGGTTAGATAGATAAATAGATGGATTAAAAGATAATTTAAAAAAAAAAATCATTGATTTTAAAATATTTATGGACACTGTAAAGAGAATGTAGAATTGTTTTTGAACAAAAGAATTACTAATCAATTATTAATAATATAGCAAATGTAAAGTTTGTCATTTTTTTTCTAATTGTTTATAATAAAAATTTTAGTAAAAGTTTCATAAATAGATCCAGTATGAGTTGGCAAAATGCGAAAATTTTTTTTTGACAAACAATTGAGAAAGTCTGGCAAGTTGTGTTGAAAAATTTCCAACATGGACTTTTTCAAGGCAATGGCTCAATTCTACTACAGATAACTTGGCCACACCCTAGGCAAGTAAATTAAATTATAACTTGGCCAAACCTTTATTGGTAATTAAAGATGAGCCTTCAAGCTGACTAATCAGACTTATGTTTGGCCAATGTTATAGCATTTTCTTGCATAGGTTTTAAGATGTACATGTATAAGTTCCATCAAATAATAGAGTTCAAGCATGTAAAATATAACCAAAGTTTTACAATATCGAAGAATTAACAATGGTGAATTGTACTTTAACACTTTCTCTTCATATTTCATGTTTTGTAAAATTTATTACATTGCAAAGCAGTCTAAAAAAATGGATTATTAATTCATCATTTAATTCTTCCATTCTAATTGATTTGTTCAAAAACATTTCAACATCAATTTCTTTTCAGAAAGCATTTGTTGATAAATTGGAATGAGATCAGCCTCTCTTTTTAATTCATCCACCAAATTGTAAAACGGTTTTGAATTGCCCACATTTAAATTCAACCTATTGTGAAATCCTTCAGAATTAACATCATTATTTGTCCTGATAGGAGATTCATATGCAGACTATTCTCAATCCAAGTATTCTCAATATACATAATTTGGTCCTCCAATTTCTGAATTGCTTTTAAATGTTGTTCTATTTTATGAAATTCATTTGGAATTATATCAGCAAGTAAGAATGATAAAGTCAATATCTTTTTCATTTCAGCCCATTGTCCAGTATGATTTCTATATTCAGCAGAATAACCCTATTCAATATATGTTAAAAATTTAATAAAACAACAATTAACATTTGAATTATTTATAACATATTTTTTCTATTATTTTCTATATAAAAATGTTTCTGGCCGTTTTCTACCATATTCTTATTTGAAATATCTTTTGAGAATCTTCCGTTTGAAAATGGAGAGCTCAATGAACAAATGGCAAACTTTTTCAACAATCAAAAACAATTAAAAATGTTGAAATTATCTGTAAGTTATTACAAGTCAGAAAAGCTGGAAATTGGATTTTTAAAATTGTACCCTAACCCTAACCCTGAAAAGACTGGGTTATGGAATGAACGTCCCATGGAATGAATGTCCCATGGAAAGAATGTCCCATTTTTAAAAGAATACATCTATTTGAAAGAAAAATTTAATATTTAAAAAATGTATTATTTCTTTTGAAAGATACTTATACTTTTCAATGATGTAATGAGTAATCATTGCATCCACACAAGAAAACTGGTATACTCCATTTTGGAAAATTTCACTGAAGTAGTAATTTTTGGAAATTTCTCTAAATTAAAAAAGATAGGATTATTTCATTTGAAAAAGAGATAAGGTAATTATTAAATAATATTAAGGAATTGAAAAGATTTATTTCATGTGTTTTTCACAATTGGCTAAGTAAAAAACACTTTTTTTATTATATCTTTAATTGAACTTTCTCTTTATAGACAATGGCTGCCACTTGTTATCAATGTAAGAAAAGGATTTATGGAAAGAGATCTGTACATAAATGTTCAGTATGTAATCATACGTATTCCATGCATTTTAAGTGCACCAAAGGTTTGTATAAAATTTATTTGAAATTTCTCATTAAAACATTATATTTTGAACAACAGATGTTGTTGTTTTCAAATGTGATATTTGTTCAGATATCACTAAAACGCAATGCCAAATTGTTCTGACAAGAATTGATGATATTGCAGAAACATTGCAATTGCAACCTCAAGATTTGAATGAAGATTCATTTGATGCTACAGAGGACTTTCACACCAACAATAATCACAATCAATCATTTGAAATTATAAGGGGAGGAAGCAAGAAAGGAAAAGATATTCTACTCTATAATGGATTTGCATTCAATGTAAAGTTTATGAAAGACAGCTATACCTTATGGAGATGCAGTGTTCGTAATAAAAAGAACTATTTTCAATACATTCATTCATTAAAAAACATGGTGAAGTGAAACAAGTACCACTTATGTTTGTGTTTATATCATCAGCAAAGTGAAGAGCTTACAAATATGTATTAAAGGTATAATTTGTCTATAAAAAATATTGCATAACTCATTTTCTATTCTTGGATTTTTTGTCTGCAGGAAATTAAAAAAATGACTAATGATTCAATGCCAGAGGAGGTAGTTGTTGATTTTGAAATTTCAGGTTAAAATATTGAAATTATGGGATGATTATGATTTAGGATTAATAACAGCAATGGATCTATTGGAAAAAGTATCAAATATATATGTATCATAACTTTTTATATTAACCTCTCTTGTCTAGCCCTGTAGTTTAATTCTTGATATTTTTGGTGTAACTAATGTTGTTCATAAATCTTTAACTAAAGATTCAGTGGTTTCTTACTTAAATACATTTTATATTGTAAAACTTTTTCTCTGCTAAATTCTTTTCATAGAATAGTATTTTCACATTGTCTTGTGTCATTCTATAGAGCTACTTCCTTTTTAATATGGGACATTCTTTCCATGGGACGTTCATTCCATGGGACATTCTTTCCAGCTCCCAAAAAGTCTATGGATAAGAAATTGACTTTAATCACTCAATCTTTAATTCTAATAAAAGAGGTGCTAATGTACCAACATAATTTTTAAAACACAGGTTAAATGAGTTTGAAGTGAATTGTTTCACTTTATTTTATAATTCTTTAAAGTTAATTATAAGATCAAGAAGAGATGATGTTTTATTATAACACAATACTTACATACTTTGACAGTAAAGTATTCATATGAGTCTTTGGTTTACAGTACATTAAATCACTGCTGTGACATTAGGCTCAGGACAGTCTTTGTGTCCAGTGAAATTGAGAACATTCCCAGCAATTTTTTTTTGTCAAAACAGGAAAAAGAAATTGTTACAAACAGGAAATATACTATGAAAATAAAGAAAACTGGTATCCAATACTCTGAGAGTATTTTAAATTTTCTTGTCATTCTTATACTTATCGGTTTTATTTTCCTTATTTCTTGTTATTAATTGTACATAGTTGAAGCTTAAGTCAAAATGTCATTGCACCCTATTGTACAAATGAGCTGATGAATGTATGTGAACATACACTAATGATGACTTCTAAGGTGAAGGTCATTTTCCTTGTCTAGGTAAATATTATTGTGTCTGGTGGATTCTTCACAACATAGGTCTTAATTTGTATTCTGCTTTATCAATTACAATTATTTGTTTGAATTAAAGAATTGAAGATGGAGAGGACTAAAATGACCATAAGTGCGTTTATCAATGCAATGTTACTTCACAGATTTCAGTTTCTCGAGTCATATTGTCAAAATAGACAATATATTCTCCAATAGTTGAAACTGGGCATTTGAACAGATTTACTTGCCTTGAACAATTCCCATTAATTCCACGATCAGTTTGTAAAGGACTTAATGATTGAACAAGAATATTATCCATTATTGAGTTACTATTTGAAATGTTCATAAGATAAAAGTCACCTTGAACTTTTAATTTAAATCCAAATTCCTTTTCCTTAAAAATGATACATGTTTGTAAATTTCCATCAGTTAAAATACCCTCTCTATTTTTACACTTGTTATCAAGGATAATTTTGAAACTATTCAACAATTTCAGTTCACATTTTTATTTTCCAATAGAAAATCTATTAACTCCATCATTTGTATCGCCAGCTTCAATTCTTTTTAATGGTAATCTTTGTGGTAAAACAGCAATCTTTCCATTATAACTAAATACAGGATTGCCCACTGTTTGTATATTAGGTGCGCAAAATTGTTGAGGATCATTAGTTTGTTCACATATTTCAGATATCAGACAATTACATATTCCATCATTAGCTATGAAACTAGTATAACTTCCATCCCAAAGTAGGAATCTATTATGGAAATTAGCAGCTTTCGCATTAATAAAATGCATAGTTTGTTGACAAACACCAATAGTTTTCAAAAGTTCAGTTACATCTGTATCATCAAAATTTTCATATTGAATATCCACAATAATGAAATATTTTGCTTGGGTTCTTGCTAAAGTAGTTAAATTTTCTTTATTATTATCTAAAACAGTTACAATGCCAACATCTTTAATAGCCTCGCATTCAATTTCAGATATAGCTCCACCAATCCTAGATTGAATATTATAAGTATTAGATATAAAGTTATTATTTTGAAGAGCATGTAGACAAGATTTATAGACTGCAGTCGAATTGAGAATTGACAATGAACTCAATAGAAATAAAAACTTTAGTAATTTTATTAGCTTAATTCTCATTTTGTATACTTTGAAGCAGATGAAGAGAGAAAACTCATAGAATGAAAAGAGAGAAAATCTCTCTCATGCAAGTTATAAAGGAATGAAAATACAACATACAATTCAATCGATGTGCGCATTTCATTATTTACAGATAGCCATTCATCTATTCTTCTCTTAATTCATTATTTATAATTTGCAGATGATAAAATCTCATTGTAAATGAGATTTTTGTGTTTTACTCTTATTGAAAAGAAGCATGATTTAATGTCTTATTTTATGTAAGTTAAGGAGTAAATAGTTTGGGTTAGGTTTAACCCTAACCAATAGTTAATTCATAGTTCTATTTCATAATTTTATTATAAGCTTCTTTGTTTTGAACTTTAAAATAGTCCAATTGTTATTACAATGCTGAAGTCTAGAAAAATTGACAAGTGTTGATAAAATATTAATTGTATTCATTTTTCTCTCTTTCCCATATTATAAATATTCTTCAAGTTTTTATTATAGATGTGCTATGTGACATGTTTTATTCATCATCTTTTCTTCAGTTATCTATAGCCTACACATTAAATCTTACATTACTCAAAAATCTTGAATTTTAACTTCCATGTCAAGATGACAACAACTAATTCAATATTTGTACAAATACATTATTTAATGAGTAGGTGAAATGCTAATTAGTCTCATTGGAGGCCTAAATCATACCTACTTTTAAACATTTCACACATATATGAGTACGGAGAGGGAATTATCAGATACTCATCAGATTATCAACTCCATCTGATGTTCAGCTATCAAATGCTTTGAAAGAAATTGATTCAATCATTGTATTCTGACAAAAAATCTTGGATTCGGGATAGTATGATTGATTACCAAGGGAAATATAATGATCTTTGTGCTAAATTGCAAGCATATTCAAATATAATTATGTTATTTTGTAGTCTCCAGTTAGGAGATTGCACATTGTTGTATTGAAATTATAGGAATTTCTGGTTTGTCTCAACAGAATTCGTCCTTTCCAATTATTTACAAATTCACCAAAGTACTCAGACAAACAACACTGCTTACCAGTGCAATCTATACAGTACAATGATAGAGATAAGCAATACTACTTCGTCTATTGTAGAATAGAGCTGGTAATTATTTCCAGAATTAGAGAGAAAATTCCACAATATCTATACAGAATATCAATATATCAATTGTGAATAACTATAGGCCAATATAACATATTGCTAAGACTCTTGTTCAATTTTTACTTAAATATACATTTTATGTATTTTATTTTATATTCTAATTAATCCTCTACCAAATATTGTAAATCCAATATTTGGGAGCATGCTTTGTCAATACCCCTAACACCATTTGGATGATACTACAATTTACTGCCCTACTTTGGTCATTTCCATTTTTGAAACTGATACACTTTTCAAGGGAACAACAGAAAGACACTCAACATTCAGAATATTCTTTCATTTTTTTGGCAATTATCGTCTTCATTGCCATTCTAATCTATATTTTCTTTTGTATGTTATGTTATTTTTTTGGCAATAGTTGACAGAGATGGCTAATTTTATGTATTGTTTATGGTTTACTCAGCCAACCATTCCAGGCAATAATCAATTGTTTCGATGAATGTGCCAAACAATGATTATATTAAATATCCAAGGTTTATAGTCTGCCTATCTCAGATTGACTCTTAGGTCACTATGTGCTGCATACTGGTAAGTATGACTATCAGGAACCCCTATATTAAAGTGAATGTTCCTAGCCTAACCCAAGTTCCAAGTTTTCAATTTTTTCCTGACAATCCTAAATATCAGTTGCTGGCTCATCCACTTACAAAACAAGAATTTCTCTCAGCACCCAAATTAAATGTATCATTTTTCAATAATGGCTTGTCAGTTCTTTCTCACCCTACACTCACTATTGAAATGTTCAAACAGAATATATAGTGCTCAACAAAATTTTTCATACCACTGACTTTTTGCAAAGACTGTATTATGAATTATGCATGTATATTAAATCCTGTTTCCATCTTTTTTATATTATTTCCATTTTTTTTGGATACATTTCCATAAAGTCTCCTTTTTGCTGAATTGTTGGCCATCATAAACCAGATGCTTCAATAAACGCCATGATAGATCTGGGGAGTAAGCTGGCCAAAGTAAAACTTTGCACAATCCAATCTTGAAATATTTCAAGATAATTTGGCCTTGTAGCATATGGAAATTTACTTATAAAACTAGAATAAACAGTAGCGGGTGAAACCGTACCCAAGTGAAACCATACCCATAAAAATATTACATTTTTTTAATGTTATTATTTAGAATTATAATAATGGAAGCTACAAAAATAGAAACACTGTTGAAATATAAACTGACAGCAATTTTAAAAATGAAGAAATTGAAGTTAACTTTCACTTTGGAAAGAATTTAATTTGAAACTCAAGCCTTTTTTGATAATTATATTTGGGCAAAGATTATCATTTTAGATTTAACAGAGGTAATTTCATGTGCATTGTAATCTAGATTAATGTTTTATTCATCTTTTCAATACATCTTTTTTAATTTTTTAAAAATATCCAATTTGGAGACTTGTTGGAATATTTTGAAGCAACATGGATTATGAACTCTATATGGAAACCAGAGAATTGGTCTATATATGGATTATCCATAAGGACTAATAACAGTGTGGAAGGATGGCACAATAGAATGAATACTAAAGTACCATCTAAAGGATCATTTTATTGGCTGCTTGATGAGCTGAAGAGAGAAGCTGATTTGGTTATTATCTATGAAAAGCTTATGTCTGAGAAGCAGATTATCAAGTACCAAAAAAGCAGTATATTGAGATAGAAAGAAAAATATTTGAAATTTGGGAAAATTATAGACTTGGAGGGCTTTTGGCAGATGAATTATTGGTTCAAACATTATATATTTATGCTCCATAATATTCTCTTTTTTAAATGTTTCTTTTCACTTTTTCCATTCTTTTATCTTTCAAAGTTATGTCTTAATCTATTATCATTTTCTTAGTATTATATATACTTTTCTTTAGTATTAATAAAATTAAAAAAACCTAATATTTCTATGGGTACGGTTTCACCCAAAATGGGTACGGTTTCACTCAGGTACGGTTTCACCAGGGTATGGTTTCACCCCTATTTGAATAAACGTGCTCTTGATTAGCCCTGACAAGAAAACAGTAGTATGAAATATCACTTTTAGCAGTAATAATTTCCGATAATAACAAGTAGTAAGTCTCTGAATACCATCTTGACAGCCTGGCTAAAAAAAATTAACTAAAAAGAGGTTGTCACCATTATCCCTATATGATACCAGCCATTGGTCACTATTACAACTCTAAACATATACTCTTTTTATTTTTTTTTCTCTTGCCAAACTCAAAGGAGTGATACGAAATATGTGTTTTGCTTTAAATCTAAGAAATATGATTGTTTTAATGTCATAGGCCTATTAATGGAAAGGCGTAAGCATCCGTCATGCTCAGAAAGTTTAGTGCCATTTATGTGTGTGCCCATGTTCAAGCTAACAATTAACAAATTTCAAATATAATGGTGAAGCTATTAGATGCAATAAGAATTTTTACTTTATATTAATCTTTGAGGACCTGAAGTATCCATTCAAAAACTAGCTAAGATTTTTAAATGTAGCCCAATCACAGTGCCAAACATAAAAAAGAAGTGCATTATCTTTTTTCCCAGATTTTTTATTGTACTGCTCTTGCTGGCAAAATCTATGCGTTTGCAAGTTATAACAATACTGGTTCTACTCGAACCTTTTAAACAAATGTTTAAAATAAAATGGTTTATTCGCAATAATAATACTTAAGCAAGTAACAATATGAGAGTTCAATAGCAGAGTAGATAGTTTGTAATAGCAGGTTGCCAAATTACCAAACTGTCTTCCTATGTTGAGGAGTAGATGGATGGTTCCAGTGGAGGTTGTTTCCAGGTTATCTTCCCAGGTCCTTGGGTCCAGATGTAAGCTGCATGCAGAATAAGAATAGTGAGGATTTATATACTTTGAGGTTTTCCTCTAACATCCAATCATCACTTTACAGTTGCCAAAATGTGTAGTTCATATTTATGTTTAGTAACAGGATGTAACAAGGTTGAACATTTAGGAAGGTTAATTGAATTATAACTTGGCCACACCCTGGGCAAGTTAATTAAATTATAACTTGGCCAAACCTTTATTGGTAATTAAAGATGAGCCTTCAAGCTGACTAATCAGACTTATGTTTGGCCAATATTATAGCATTTTCTTGCATAGGTTTTAAGATGTTCATGTATAAGTTGCATAAAATAATACAGTTCAAGCATAATATAACCAAAGTTGTACAACTTCCCCCTTCTTTGTGAAGATGAGTCCCTTCATCTTGATTTAATGAGAATTACAGGTGGCGGGGTCGGGAAAAAACGTCCTTGGGAAAAAACGTCCCTGGGAAAAAACGTCCCAGGGCGGGAAAAAACGTCCTAATTGTTGGGAAAAAACGTCCTAATTGTTGGGAAAAAACGTCCTATGCCTGGCTAAAGATATACTTGGCATAATTATTTATACTTATAATCAGAAATGTTTTTCTCTTTGCTGTTTATTTCATTTATAGAATAAAATATTAATATTTTTGAAGAAAGGGATATGTATTGTGATGTTTTTACCAGTTTTCTCTGAATTATGTAATGCTATTAAAAGAGAAATGAGTTATTTCCTTGTCTTGTCTGTAAGTGAAAGATAAATTTTGCATTTCTTGGCATATTTTCAGGCTAATTTGTTTTTTAAGCATTGAAACTCTGGTATTGATTTTGTTTATTGAATATTACAAGATTATACATTGTTTAAGAACACTTCTTTCCAGTGAGTTATTATTTATAATTTTTGTATAGGCAGCCATATTTGATAGTTGAAAGTGAATTTATTTTTGCAGAAACTTAGTAATGGCACCTGTTTGTATTAATTGTAATAAAAGATTTTATGGCAGACAGAGAAAGATGAAATG